AAGACGGTTCTGTGTACACGAGAGATGGTTAAGGTTTATACAGATTGAATATTCTATTTGAGGATTTTACTTTCTCGTATGATCTTGATGGTAATTTCAGAGTAGAAATGTAATTAATTCACTTTGGTTTTTCTAGATCTTACACATTCGGTAGGACTCCTTGGTCGGGTGATCAGCTCGTCGCAAGGCCCCTACCTGTACACAAACACAGAGAAACGCACACACACAAACTAAACATCAATGCCCTGAGTGGTATTCGAACTCACGATCCCGGTTTCCAAGCGAGCGAAGACAGTACATGCCTTAGACCGCTCAGCTACCGTGACCGGCCCATAGATATATAGTGCTTAATTTTTGTAACAGAAATGAACACTAAACATTTATAGCACAGAGAAACATATTAGCAGATCACGTGTTATTGACAAGCTTAATTAGTAAACTAACGGTACCCACTGGATAAGAAATTGTTTGCGTAAGAGATTCGGCCTATTCGTCGTATTCAATTAAAGAATTCCCCAAACTCCAGGCTTCTAATGTCTTATGTATATTGTTTTATTAACCTTTGGCCTTACATCTGTCAATATCAGTAAGAGGAATTGTCATTCAACATTCTTTCTGTTGTTCATTACCGTTATATCTTTTCCAGATGACATACGGACTTAGTCACACGGAGGCCAGATGGAAAAACGTTTGGAAAGTGACCCTTACGCTGAAAACCCACTGATGCGACAAGCCACGCGCGGTTTGTCGAGTGTTGTCGCTCGCGGCCGTTATTTGTATTGCTTTTATGAGCCGCGCGCGGTTAAGTTTTGGAACGCGGCACACAGGCGGCAGAGCTGTCGCACGCCTAATATGTACAACTAACGGACGCGCGCGACAAAGAACGGCTAGCCGCTCGCTACTAGTCGCGTCAGTGGCTTTTCAGCCTTAAGTTCAAATCGATCCAATGTACAACGAAGCATTGGCCAACGATTGTAGTCCGTTCCTTTTCTCGTCAAGTTTGGATGGGAAAACACCCTAAGAATGCTACGGAAGAGGGTGGGGAGTGTTGGGTTACCTTGTTCCAGTCGGGTCACGCGCTACAGACAGGAACTGACGAGTGCTGCCAAGTGACCTTATAAATCAGGAAAAGATTAAGCTGGCTCTTCGTCTTCCGCGTCGCTGTCATGCGCTTCATACATTTCTCCTCCCTTGTTTATGCACCACTTGTGTAGCGTTTTACAGACCACATTTCCCCTCTACCCTCATGGGTTTCGACTGAGTCCATTTGGTGCTGCGGCAACTGACTGGTCTATTGCATCAGCCTCAGATGATAGATGATGACGATGAATGTGGAGCAATCGGTGGAATGGAATGAGCAGGGGAAACCGAAGTACTCGGAGAAAACCTGCCCCACTACCACCTTGTCCACCACAAATCTCACATGACCTGACCCGGGCTCGAACCCGGGGCCACCGCGGCGGGAAGCCGCTGACTAAACGCCTGAGCTATGGCGCGGTTCTACAAACCACTTACTATAATTGGTTAAATGATAAAATGTGACAACGCTGTGCTTCACTGAACTGCCCAGGACAGAAAAATCTCGTACTACTGCCAGTCAATAACCTGGGGTCTCAACTGGAGGTTATCCCGAACCCTCTTTTGTTATTATCTAGTGCAGGTCCCTGTGAAGGCCAAGTTTCTGAACAAAAAGAATGGATTAATAGTAATTCCCAGGAGACGTATAGATACTGTGGCACTCACTGCCTGTCTTCCTGATAACGTGTCTGCGCCCACTGTCTCGCTGCTTCCCCACTCCGTTTATTATTATTATTAGAGGGGGTGGGTTTCCCCATGCACTTAGACAAGTTATTGGTCCATTGTGCGTCCCCCTTTAATTTCTATTGTCGCCATGCCCTACCGGTACTGGTGCGTGCTTCAGCCCCGTTCAGCCAACGAGGTCGGCCCTCGGTACCTGATATTTCCCCCATCTACCAGAGGCATTGGAAAGTACTTGGGCGGGAAATGTGTTGCCTAATTTTGCTCAGAGGTCTCGTACATACATGAGGATCTTTTACTTGCCGTACATCTACGACACGGGACCCACGGCTTAAAGTCCCTCCTGGAGGACTTGTTCCCTGAATTTTTCCGCCCTTAAAAATTCCACGACCTCCGCTGGGTTTGAACCCGCGTACCTTGAGTCATGAGGTGGGAACGTTACCCCTAGACTACTCCACTCCGTTTATGTACACCCCTATTTCGCGCATTTCAGAGGCCACCATAAAGCAGTGCGACTGTACCTGACTGCTTGCTCTTATGCTCCTGCGAACTCTGCAAAGTTTCAGACATAAAAGTTTTTAAAGGTTTACAATTTTTTTTTTCAGTTAGAATTGAACCTTATATAGACATTATCTTTTTCCTCGAACCCAGTTTTGATGCATTTCCTTCACGCGAATCAGCCTTGTGCTTCTCTTTGCGTGAGGTTGCCATCATGACACGAATCACACAAACAAATCTTCTTGGAATCTCGATATCGGCCTGTTTGAACTTAATCAGGAGTCTTTTGTTACTCTAACTCGATAGAATGAAACTCGTATGTTCCGTATAAATATTATTAAAAAGATTTAACAGAGGTTATTTTGAAATGTGCTACTGTACTACTTAAACAGAGGTTAGTAAAGGACTCTCGAATTGAAAGATAAATATCACGGAAGCATTCCTTGAAATATTACATACGCCATTGCGCTTAATGTACATTTATTGACGCTAATTCATGTTAGAAGCATCGTTACAGAACTAATCACACTTCTTACATAGTCAGGGATTATTTTGCCATGTTAATTCGCAATGTCAAACAAGGAATTCCTCGAACAAGTCACGAAGCTTATTTAACTAAGGACAGACATATAGCCTTGTATATTGTGGTATATCTACTAAAGCCAGAATTGTGAAGCCAGCAGAGACAGCCATTGCTAAGGAACAGCTCTGCAAACACGCCCATTGCTAGGTAGTGGTTCATTAACCGTCACATGATGGTCGCAACAGACACTTAAGGAAAAATAGAAGAGCTGTTGGAAGCGGTTTTCCGTGCGGTCCGTGCCGAGGCTTTATAACGATGATCAGCTGCTATTAAAAGAGTCCTGAGGCTGCAGTTAGAAGAGTAAGAGGTTGGTGTGAGATGGCCTTGAGCCTGCGAGGACGTGATCCCTGGAACAGAGGATCGTCCACGGCAGGAAGACGTTGCCAAGCAGAGCACTGAAGCCCGTCACTGAAATCCACACTACTTTGAAGAGAGGACGCCGTGTTGGTATGCAGCCGGTTTCGCGCTGCGCCTGTGTATCTATTGTGTCAGGGCGGGGGTGGCTTGGCTTTGCCGCCCCAGTCGTGGCCTATTAACTGTAAACCGGCTTCGCTAGATTTCGAGTGTTTCGCTTCTGGCCCATGTGACCACGCTATCTGTGCGCTTTGCGCTTTCAGCTTTTGAACCAACTGACTTTCAATACATTTTTATGAAGGTTATGCTATTGGAGGTCACCCCCCCCCAGTACCGTACTTTGTAATTTCGTACAGTCAGTAATAAACATCACTGACGGGCAAACTTCTGAGGTGAGAGCGATGCTAACGCCACTTAATACAACACCCTGAAGAAGTGGCGTATAGGTATTTGTCTTGGTATCCTATTTTTTATTATTATTCTTAGTGGGGTCAGACTGAATCCACTTGGTACTGCGGCCACTACTGGCCTGTCGTACCAGCCCAATGTGATGCATGATGGTGAATGTGGAGCAGTTGGTGGAATGAAGATTGGCTTGGGAAACCGAAGTACTCGGAGAAATCCTTCCCCAACGCCACTTTGTTCGCCACAAATCCCACATGACCAGACCCGGGCTCGAACCTGGGAAGTCAGCGACTAACCGCTTGAGCTATGACGCGGCCTCTCGGTACCCTGAAGACAGATGCAATATATTCCTTCCTAACGTTTATCAGCTGACTAAACGTATCATATGACATAAGACGGTAGGTCTACCCTTCACGCGACAGTGTAAACATGTATTATGCCTTGTGTTTAGTTAAACATTTTAAAGGGTAAAGTTTACCTTGTGCTTAATTAGCTAAGCACCACGCCATGAAGACGTATGGAGGAATGAATGGTTATATAGATACACGTTTTCTTGACCTTTCACGAGATGGAGGTGAGTTGTCAGCTTCAAGCCCCTGCCGTATTATCCCTAGAGAAGAAGCCCACGGTACGCATTGGTCTCATCGTTGTCCGCCCAATCCATATCCCATCACTGTACCGACTGAGCTAACCCGGCTTCTCATTAAATATTTATGACGTCAGGAACATTTAAATAAAAGCTGTAGACCTGTGTACTGTTTTTGCAGCTTGCTTGGCAACATATTCACGCGAAATATTCCAGAATGCATTTCTCTGGTTATCTGTGATTACTAAATGAGATGCTCTGAGCCTTTCATGATCATCATTGGCAAAACAGCCTTTTTGAGCCACAGGCATCCTTAGAACAATCTGGCAGATTGCACCAGGTTTTCACTTGTTTGGATTTCACGACAATAATTTTTTTTACAGAGTAAAGTCATCAGCGCCGGTGACGGTAGCCGAGCGGTCTAAGGCATGCACTGTCTTCGCTCGCTTCGAAACCGGGATCGTGGGTTCGAATCCCACTGAGGGCATGGATATTTAGTTTGTGTGTATGTGCGTTTTTCTGTGTTTGTGTACAGGTAGAGGCCTTGCGACGAGCTGATCACCCGCCCAAAGAGTCCTACCGAATGTGTAAGATCTATAAAAACCGAAGTGAACGGAGAAGTTCATGGAAGTAGGCCTAGGCCCACTGGGGCTGTGGTGGCAAGGAAAAAAATCATCAGCCCTGCTTCCAACCCCTAGCCTGGAGGATCAGGTTTTTGCCATTATGTCCCCCATTGATAGGATGGTCCAGCTATACAATATTATTATACAGTTTAGGGCCGGTGGTGTGCCGCGGTCCCTGCCCCACTTTACTCACCAGACGGCCACCGGTTCAGGCTGCTCCATTCCCAGGTCCCTCATGTATCTTCGGTCCCGTCATCCCCTGGTTTGCACCCTCAGGTCAAGCTTCCGTTTCCTGCAACAGTGACATTATCATCATGGGGGGGGGGAAGAGGAATGCATATAGGATACTGGTAGGAAAGCCAGAAGGTAAGAGACCACTGGGAAGACCAAGACGTAGGTTGGTGAATAATATTAAAATGGATCTTAAAGAGATAGGATGGGATGGTATGGACTGGATTGATCTGGCTTAGTATAGAAACCAGAGAAAAGCTCTTGTAAACACGGTAAATCTCAGCAATTCATTCACGGAATGTAATTATAATTCCAGAATAAATATATGTTATTTTGTAGATTTGAGGTTTTCACGGCGGTGACTATGAAGAATGCCGTCTTCTGGGATATGGCGCCGTGTAGATATAGTATAAACCGACGTTTTGGAGGAACGTATCGCCGCCATTTTCAGGGCAGAAAAATCCGCAAGCGAGGAAGGTTTGTGTGAAGCCTGTGAAGGTGGCTGCAGACGGCATTCTTCATGGTCACCGCCGTGAAAGCTTCAAATCATACCCGGTAATAAAGCTTCGGTGTGCCATAAATTGTTGGGAAGTTCTTGAGTAGCAACACAACTGGTGGCTATGCATAATGACGCGCAAAAATCATCACTGGCATTAAGGTGCGTTTAGATTGACGTCATGACTACGTCATAAATCGATTTATACGTGCCATTTTATCTGTATACTTTAGAAATTACAGGCCTGCGTAAATGTGGAATTCTAATGACGTGCGAGATATGCGACTGGTACGTTTATAAGTTGCATACGTGGGGTAAGCGTGCGTTACGTATGACTTGTCAAGAGTTAATCGGTTTGCGCTGCAGATAACGGTAATGATGTTAGTATTCCTTCCATGCGCAGGAATCAGGGGGGTCACTATCAGCTTTCTTATCACATATTCGACCCTGAAGATTCAGACAATATGCTCCCTCCGACTCTCGACGAACTTCTACGGGACTACACGGCCACACATGTCAAACGATATTACTTCTCGTGGTCACCATTGTGAGAACCTCATATCCATTACTGACCGAGTTGGTTACTGTTGGTGTACATGGAAGGAGCCTCGGTATAGCGATTAGCTACTGGCTGGAGGACGGAGGAGTCGGAGTTCGAGTCCCGGTGAGGCAAGAATTTCCACATCTCCATGTCGTCCAGACCGGCTCTGGGGTTCACCCAACCTCCTATACTCCCGGGGCTCCTTCCTCGGAGGTAAAGCGGTCGGGGCGTGAAGCTGACCACTCACCTCCAACTAGTACCGAGGTGAAGAAAATGTGGGTCTATACATCCACTCCCCATACGCCTACATGGCGTACTGCTTAATTAGTTGAGCATAGGGACAACTTTGACTCTCTCTATGGCCTAGTGATCGGAGTTTCTAGCTACAGATCCAGATGTTCTGGGTTCGATTCCCGGTGCTAGCAGATTTTCTAAGGAGTAGTGGGTCTTATCGCCCCTCCTTTTCAACTTTGCCTTAGAATATGCAATTAGGAAGGTCCAGGGAAGACCAGGTGGGACCGAAATTAAACGGGACACATCAGCTGTTGGTCTACGCCGATGATATGAATCTACTGGGTGATAATGTAGATACCATAAAAAAAACACACAAACTTTAATTGACACAAGTAAAGTGGTTGGTCTAGAACTAAACACAGAGAAAACTAAGTATATGTTGCTGTCTCATCACCAAAATGCAGGGCAAAATCATGACATAAAGATAGGAAACAGATGTTTTTAACATGTGGCACAGTTCAGATATTTAGGAACAACGATAACAGATCGAAACCTGTTTCAGGAAGAAACTAAGAGGCGATTTAACTCGGGTAATGCTTGCTACCATTCAGTCCAGAACCTTTTGTCTTCTCGTCTGTTGTCCAAAAACATAAAAATTAGAATATACAAAACTGTAATTTTTCCTGTGGTTCTGTATGGGTGTGAAACTTGTTCTCTGACATTAAGGGATGAACATAGACTGAGGGTGTTTGAGGACAGGGTGTTGAGGAAAATATTTGGACCGAAGAGAGATGAAGTGACAGGAGGTTGGAGAAAACTGCATAATGAGGAGCTTCATAACTTGTACTCTTCTCCAAGTATAATTAGAATGATCAAGTCAAGGAGGATGAGGTGGGCAGGTCNGGAACGGGGTCTATTCAGCCTCGTATGGATAATTGAAGAGCTATTTCAAGGAAATAGCGGCTCCGGTCTAGAAAACCGAAATTAGCGACCGTGGGGATCCGTTGCGCTGACCACGCGACACCCTCTGTCCGCAAAAGTTGGCACTAATTTCTCCGACAAACTGCGGTGGTTCGGTCGATATAGTTCGCTTGCGGACTAAAGCCACGGAGTTTGTTTCAGGGACAACTTCACCTTACCGTTTACCTTTACATGTAACCTTCATTGAGTCCACTATGTTTATATTACTTCTTAGCCTACTGCTAGAAAAAATAGAAATAGGCTTATGAGATCAATTTGCTGTCTGTGTGCCTGTGTATCTCCCTCCAATTGTCGCTATACAACTGCTAGGTAAACACGTATCCGCGAATATGAATGCACACGAAACAATAGAATTGTCGGACGCGTCGTTTTCTATGCAGTCCGTGTCGTATCAAGGGAAAGTAGGTGGTTGTTTATTCCGAAGATTTTAGGTGCATTTTATACATAAACAACGGCCGGAACCTGTGGACTTGGCGGCCACACACCGGGCTCGGGGCAAGCGGTAACCGGCGTATATCTCACACTACCCTGTGAGGCAGGTATTGCGTTACACCTCCTAAAATTACTTAGTAGTTTTTATGATGTAATTGTTATTGGTTGCTAAACTGGAGCAGAATTGGCGCTCTGAACCACGAAAGATATTGGTGGTGCGTGTTTCCGAGAGGGAAGTCTACAGCCCCCGCCCATACGGAGTCATGTCGCGAGAAGCCACAGCCCCGAGCATGAAAGAAATATTTTCTTAGTTCTATTTGAAACCAAATACAAGCCTTGAAGCGAGGACTCTACTTATGTACCGGCAGAGACTATATTTCGCCTGTCACAGTGGCCGAGCGGTCTGTGGCTTGAACTGTCTTCGCCGGCTGAAACACTGGGATCGTGGGTTCGGATCCCACTTGAGGCATGGATGTGTATGTGCGTTTATTCTGTGTGCAGATAGAGGCTTTACGACGGGCTGATCCCACGTCCGAAGGTTCTTACCGACTGTGTGAAAGGTCAAGAAATTGAAAAATCGCCGAGGTCCAACAAATGGCTGTAGAGCCATAGTTAGATAGAGACTATGTTTCCCCTTACACAGTATTCCACATATGCCGCGATGAATTTTTTGTAAATGCTCTGAAGTAGTCGTGAACTCTGGAAATGACAGTTCTTACAAGATTTTTATATTTCTGGGTCACGCAGACACGTGCAAGCTTTGTGCTTTCAATAAATATTATTTCAGGATTTTTATTAAAGTATTAGGATAAATATTATAGCACGGATTCTGTATGAACGTTAATAGTTCATTTCCTTTTTTTCCCAATTCTGTGAACTTAATCAGGGAGTAAGAACTTTGTTGAACTTGCGCTGGAAACATCACTGCTTTACTCCACATTATTAAATAAGATAAAAACGTACAGTGCTGCCTTTGTATCTTGAAAGCCTTTGAGAACAGATTAATACGAACATAGGAAGGTAAAGTTACCTTCGTGCCTAATTTATTTATCCATAGTTTACTTAACGTTACTGCTATGAAGCGTCGAATTATATTGAAGAATATTGAATATTGAATTGGATGGGTTCCGGATCAAATGTTGATGGCATGATTTAAGATACTATCCAAGCATTAACCTGGAATGAATGAGGAAAAGAACGCAAGACCTCTATTGGGATAAGCTGTGTTCCGAACAAGAATCCGGCACTCAATTAAGACGTATGGGGGGATGGATGTATAGCTCCACTTAATATTACTCTCAAAGCTGGATAGAGACGAGGGATTAGTTTCACGTTCCGGTCGATTTACCGCTAGGGATTGCGCCTTTGGTATCCACTGTGTAGGAGGCTTTCTGGGCACCAGAGCTAGTTCAGATATTCTGAAGAACAGAGAAGCCTCTGTGCCTACCGGGAATCGAACACTGATTTCCCCGTCATTCAGTCCATAGTCTGGTCACTGTACTCAATTAGCTATCCTGGTAGGTATGAACTTATTATGGCGTGTATACCCGTTGCTAGGCAAGTATCACGAAAAGGCGATTAGACAACGGCTGTTGATGGGCAACGGCCCGTAAACAATAACAGAGGAATGGCGTTTTCAGCGCTGTCCTCGCCGATGGATACGCACACAACAATTTATTTAGGAATAGGAACGGTGTTTTCTGTGCGGTCCGTTACTAGATGTTATAAGCAGGAAAATTAGTGAGTGTGGTTGGTGAGTGAATTAGTTACATAACCGTTGCGGTTCATTTGTGAGCTGTTGCTGTTAGATGCTGGTAGCTGAGGCACGGGGATAGTTCAGGGACCCAGAGGAAGGGGAACGTCCTCCGTTGGGAGCCGTTATCAGACAACGACTGGTGAATGACTTAAAAGACTTAGTGCGTGCTGTAGTGAATTGCAGAGTGTAAATTAGCGATAGCGCTATAGTTACTTGTAGTTACGATTTGTGTGTATAAGTGTTCAATAAATCCAATTACCATAGCATACCCCGTCTATAGTCACACTCTGTCACATGACAGTATTAAGGAAAATACGTATAATAACAGGTTTCAGAGGAGTCCTTTGCAAAGTAATGATTTTTAAGGAAAAATTTTCGTGATTTAACAACCTGCACTGAGAACTTGATGTTTCTTATGAAGCAGATCGCTATGAAAATGATAAAATACGTCGCTGTCAAGAAATGAATGGGACGAGAAACAGGACTTGATAGGAAATAAGAGACGAGAGCGGTAAATTTGAAATTTTATTGGCTGATGCTGTTAGGCGCCGATTTCAAATCTCGGCGGTTCACCAGTTTAATCCTGGGTCTGTTCATGTAGGACATATGCTGGACATGTTG